GACCGCTAGTCAGTGCTCGCCACCCTCCTCCCCCTGCCGCTGACACCACTGTGGCCGCCTGCAGAAGCTCCCTGCTCACTGCCGCCACACCCCCGGCACTGCTGCCACTGCCTGCAGGCGGTCGCCATGCATGTGTCATTCATGCAGTAAGTGGAGACAAAGTTGTTGTTTTGAGATTAGACACAATGTTTGTACTTACAAAAATTAGAAGAGAGGAAAGAAGGCAGGCAGGCACTGAGGAAGGAAAGGAATGCAGTCAGGAAGAAAAGAAGAAAAAGGAAGACCGGAAGGGAAGGGAAGGCAGGCAGGAAGAAAGGAAGAAAAAGAAAGCATGGTAGGCAGGCAGGCAGGAAGAAAGGAAGAAACCATACAGCAAATTTGTTTCACTGGCTGCTTTGTTATTATCAGAAGGGACAGGCAGATGGGGACAATTTGATCAGACCAGGAAATTCTGTGCCAAGTTGGATTCGTTCATCTGCTTTGAAATATTATGCGGCATATGGCAACTGGTATTTACTGATGTATTCCTGAGATGGCATCATGATGACAGCATCTCTGCGGTGAGCGATATAAAATAAAACAGGCCGTGTGACTGAATACCAGAGAGTAATTTGAATGAAAGTCTGGGCTAATCTTGTCACCAATTGAAAACGAGCTGCTGAGATGGTTTATTAACATACTGACGGATTGTGAGACAAAGTTACAGCTTCTATTATTTAAACTGCATGGCCTGTACAGTTATTTCTCACTACATTGAGCTCTGTGCTAAGTGCAGTAGTGACTGTTTCTGAGTGCTGTGCAAAATCATCTATTTTTGCTGGGTGAATAGACCTGTATGAAAATAAGCTTGATAATGCAGGCAGAAAAATACACATTTCTACCCCTCGGGAAGTTTGAATACTTTGAAAAGTTCCTTTTGTCTCTTGGAAGTGCTCCTGGCCAAGACTACATCTCCCATAATGCACCACATGTGTGTACTTCCATGAGGCAGTTAGTTAGCTGGTGTGTCCATGGAGGAAAATGGTGGGGGGGCTTGAGTTAGAACTACCATGAGGTCCTAGGGCAACTAACATGGGCACAGATTAATGTCTGAAGTTGCCTGAAAAAAAGTGTTTTGATGGACGCTGCATTTTTTCCTGCAGAAAGTATTAACATTGCAGAAACTGAATTTTCTGTTTTCTTTAAAAAAAACAAACCCAAACCCTGAAAATTCCTGCAGAACATTTGAAAATGCAGAGACCTTGGCTAGTCAAAGCTTCTTTTGCACTTGGACCACTGATGCATTTGATTTTAATGGGACTGTGTATTCTAAGCCTTTAAATGGCTTGAAACACTTAGGCACTTTTTCTTTTATCGGGTCCTATGCAATCCTAATTTCACCATTCTGTGCCTTGGTTTCCCTATTTGGACAATTGAAATGATATTCATCCTCCTTGCTAAAGCCTTTTGAGACCTAGAGCCAAAAAACATGCTATAAAGCTGTAGGTAGAGTTGTCAGAACTTTTTGAAAACTCTCATTTCATTTGAACAACAAATTTGGAAGGAAACAATACATTTCACGTAACTTCAGATTGAATATTTTTGCTTTGTTTTGTTTTCAAAGACTAAAAGAAATCAGGATTTTTACTTTCATTTCTGATGGGTTTTTTTATTTCTTTCTGTTGGAAAAAAGGAGAAAGGTTTAAAAGGAGAAAAGTTAGGGAAAATGGGGAAAGTTTTTTTTTAATGTGCTTTCATCAGGCTTTAATTTACTTTTGTTAAAACTGGAAGGGAAAAGTGGGGAGGAAATGAAAAGAGAAAAGAAGGAAGAGGAAGGCATAAAAGAAGGAAGTTGAAAATGAAAATGTTCTATTTTTGAGAATCAAACTAAAAGGAACATTTTCAAAATGAACATGTTTCGATTCCTTTTGAAACTGCCAAAAATCTAAATGCAAAATGTTTCATCTGAGGAGTTACTTTTCCATTGACAAAACATAGTGCAGAAAATGTAAACATCTCTGACCTACATGATTGATTGAGATTCAGGAAAAATGCTAATCTATCACCTTATGGTGCAGGTGCAGAATTTTATAAACAATAATTAAAGGGAATATGGCATGATGCCAACCAGAAAGTCTCTTCCCCCCCCTTGCTTTCTCTCCCTCTTCATTTCCTACCTCTCCCCAAAAGAGTATTTTTAAAAAGCCTTCAACACTTACTCAAGACACTATAAATCATTACAACTGGGCTTTAATCGACTTCTCAAGCAGAATCGATGTGCTTTCATCCTGCCTTCTAATATACATGGCATTAAAAAATGTATGAAACCAAAGTTTGACTTTCCTCATGACTCACTTCTGCCTGATGCCTATAGATCATTACTGTTGATAACTAGGCATGTGGCAAACTAGATTGTTAGTACAGCTTGACTATGTAGAAGTATAGTTGCAATATTATTACCTAGTATGGGTTGAAATGACTTTTCTGATTCAAAATATTTGGCAGTAATGAAAAATTCTCTGTTTTTGTTTTAATCTGGAAAAGCAAAAATCCCTATTTTAATTGTTTTTAATCTCTGAAAATCCCTGATTTTGTAAAAACTTTTGAGAATGAAAGTTTAGGATAAAAATGGGATCTTTTTGGCAAAGATTTTTGTTTAGTTGAAAAGTTATTTTTGTGCAAATAAAATTTCAATTAAATGTTATTTGACCAGGTCTACTGTTAACGTGTTCACCTCTCCAGCCACTTCCACAGGCATCCTTTTTTGTATCATCTGATCGGGCTTTTTGTTATATACCAGTATTAGAAGCTGTTGGAGTCAAAACCATTCTTTGTACTTCATGGAGATACAGCACCTATGATAAAATTTACTGTAATGATCACTAGTGGTGCTTCTAGTGAAAGACAGATATATCTTCATCACGATGTCAGTAGTTTTTAAGTAGAACCTCCTGGTCCCAATGGTTTCATTTGGATGCTCTGCTTAAGAGCTGACAGCAAAATATGGCTCCAGATGGGGTGCTTAACGTCCTTTGTTCCCGATGAATTCAGTGACTTGTGCCCTAAAGAAACTATTTCATTTTAGAGCTTAAATTGAAGTTCCATTGAAGTGTTGAGGGAAAGGACTAGCTCCATATGGCATGGTGGCTTTTTGCAACAAGTTGTTAATTTAACACCTTCCATGGGAGTTTTATTAAGAAACATACTCAACTTTTGGGGAATTTCCTTCACTTTACCTTTCCCGACTAGTTTAGTGGGAGTACCCAAAGTTATAAGGGAAACAAGGTATTTGTTTCCAGATGATATTATCTTGTGAGAGATCAATACATTGTAAAATAATTAGCCATTAAAACAAGTTGCGTGGGTCTTCCACATCCTACTGCCACATGCGTTTGCACAGGCTCAGATTCTACCCAAAATTCCCAAGTGAAGGAGGGAGCTGTCCCAGGGTTGGACTGGGCAAGTTTATATGAAATGAGAATTTATTACTGAGCCCAACCTAAGGGAAGAGGGAAAATAAACTTTTTTCTCTGTGAAATAGATACAGGGTTTCACACATAACATGGGGTTGTTGAATCTTAAATTAATTCTTGTGACTTATATAACAGACTGATTTATCTACATAGCAATGTTTTGTTGCTTCCAGATGGACTCCAAGCAGCACTTATGAAACTTCTCTCCCTCCCCATCCCCTTTAATACACATCAGTAACTTAATATAAACTCCCTGTCATCTGTCAACAGTAGGGGTCCAGGCCCTATTTTTATGGCTTTTACTTAAATATGGAATCTCATGGCCAAAAAAAGGATGAAGGACTTGCATTGTCTAGTAAAACACATGGAACTTCCTCACCCACTCCTTTGTGCTTTGAGAGCATGGAGAGCTCTCAATAAACTTCATGCCACAAAGTGAGATGTTAGAGCAACAAAATACCTCTATGTTGGTAAAAAAAAAAAAATTAAAAAATTCCTGAGTTGAGAGAAGTCAGTGGTTAAAATGGGAATTTGGGACTTAGAAAAATTAGGTCCTACCCCTTGTTCCACTACCCTTTTTGTATGTCCTTGAGCAAGTCACTTACTTAACTGTGCTTTGGTTTACTCATCCGTAAATGGGAACAATAGCACTGGAAGGTGTCAAGGGAATTATTAAAAGGAGCAAAATAAGTATGTAAGACAGAGAAGGGAAGGACAACATAGATCAGGGAATGGTTCTTCTAGGTCAGTAGGTCCAAGTTGGGTCGACCGGCTATGAATATGCAGTGACATATGACATTAATGACATCAGTGAAATGTTTCTGTCTCTTTCAGTTTTTTCATGTAGGGCATAGCACTGTGGTGTCAAGCACTGAGCTGAACTGAAGTGCTGGGACTCCAGCTCATTCCTTGTGAACAGATATCTTACATATGAAAAAACAACATGACAGCTGACACCAACTGTCTGTCATTGGATGTCTCAGCAGACAGAATTACATGGGCTGTGCAGATAGAGTTACTGTTTCACCCTTGGTGCCCTGAACGTTGGCAGGGCATTGCTAAGAAGCACATATACCTGCAGCCAGTTCTAAGAGTAAGTGAAGGTTTCAGTGTCCAGTCCAGCTCCCATGCATTAAATTTCTTACTATAGAAAGAAAGGTGCTTGGAAGAGAAGAAAGAAAAAAAAATTCTTGGTCCCTCCCTACATCAGTAGTGAGACTGTGGCCTATTAAATGTCCCTAAGCAGGAGTGTTAACGCACATAAAATACACTCTTCTTCTTTGCATGACTGATCATGTGACTGGTACTAGTGTGGCATAAGCTGAGCAGTCTCCACTAGGCAACTACTCCTTGGCCACATCTACATGTGTGCTTTACTGTGGAGCAGACTAATTAGCTGTGGAGTAAAGCATTGCTGTCTACACATGTGACAGTATTAGGCCACAGTAAACTAATTAACCATGCTGTAAGATAGTATGGGGGCAGTAGTGACTGGAGTCATTAACTGCAGTTAAACACACATGTAGATGCTGACTGTGGGTGTAAATTGGACCCAGTCAGCCCAGCCAGCAGGAGGCCAGGCTCCTGTCTACTGCCTAGCCTCATGGCTCTGCACTTCCAGAACCCTTGTGCCCCAGCCTGTCCCTTCACTGTCTGATGCCATTACCTGGAGCCTGGGGGCAGAGCAGGGCAGGAGTGTCCCTGGCATAAACTGCTCCTCTCCAGCTCAAACTGCTGCTGTTCTGATGCACGTGTAGATGATGCACCCAGGAATAGGTTTTTCTGGCTCAAACTGGCCCGGAGTTTATTGCTTTGAATTAATTGCGTGTATAGACACACCCCTTCTCCCATACAAGTGGGCAAGGAGCAGGCTTTATCCTCTGTTTTGCCCAGCACATTGGCCCTTGGAGAATTACTCTGTTCTAGGGAAATACGGCCCCACTGAGTGAGTTAACTGCAGTAGGGTCTAATATGGGGGTTTCTGGATCTCAAAGCATGAGCCTTTTCTATCCAATGCCTGAGCCAGAAGCCCCAGGTCTGTCAGTCAAGGCTGTAGTAGGTCCATCTGCCTGTATATGCATCTTAAACACTACCAGGAAGGGACAGCCAGGCAGAAGTCTAGCACCCCATACCTCTCTAATAAAGCACGGGGAGAAGCAGGAAGCATGCTGTGACTTTCAGAGCCACTGTCGGGTTCTTGGTGTGCTCCAGGGTAACCCGCCACCTTATTGCCCTAAGTCGAGGTATGCGACAGAGGCTCCATGCAGCCCTGTACAAGTGGCTTTTGGATCCACAATGAATTTGATGTGATAAGAGTAATGCTGTTGGGAACCATCTTATTAATTAATGCTCTTGAGGGAAGAGCTGTTCACAATGCAATAAGTGGTTACATTGTAAAAACACAATATCAAAAGCAAACCTAACAAGAAGGGGAATTCGCAAGCTGTTGCCTGGTGACTTCTGTTTCAATATATGTGCTTTTTTCCATAAACAAATCCAACCAGTGTTTTTTCCCCCTTCCACTAATTAGATATCCATGCGCTCATAAGCAGCCCCGTAGCTATATCACATAAAAATAATATGACAGCATTTCTCTTCCAAGGATCTCAGAATAGTTTACAAATATTAATTAATCCATCCTCATAATAGCTATGCAGGGAAGGCATTTTGAGCCTAAATGTGTAGATGGGGAAATTGAGCCACACAGATTTGAAATGTTTTATTCAAGGCAATGTGTCAAAGAGCTGGAAACAGAAGGCCTGACTTCCCGTTTCCTGCTCTGACCACTAGACAGCCTTCTGTCCTGCACAAAGCTGTGTTCAAGTGGAGGGAAAACTTTTACTGGGGAGAGGGACTTTAGCATTCCTAGCTTTCCAAGGGGTATCACAAATACAGCTTTGGGAGAGCAACAGGGAGATGTATTTTAAACATTATGACAAATACCTTGACAGTGGCCCTTTCAAGTCAGAGCCGTAAGTAAGGGAAGTTCACTGATCTGCCTTTTTATCAAAGCTCGTCTCTGTTATGTTAAGCACAGTACCCTACAGAAGTTAAGAAGCTAATGGGGGAAGGAGGCATTAGACAGAAAGATCAAATACAGCAGATCGTAGCCAAAGGGATGAAAACGATATGGCACCTGAGAGTGGCAGTAAATGTAAAATGCTTATCTCTCATTTCAGATGTATGATTAACTGTTTCTAACTACGCTGTGGATTGGAGAATAAAGGGAAATGTGGATGGCTGTAATGCGGTCAAAATGTTTCAGAAACTGACTGAACAGACCATAAAAGTAAGACTTCGGGGCTCTCGGATGCATCTACTGCAGGGGGAAACTAATGATGTGGGGATTTGTAAATAACTGTTATTGTAGAAAGATTTTAAAAAATAGTAGCATGGCTACTACAAAGCAGTGGAATGAGAAACAAGAATTATGAGGCTGGTATGAAGTAACACGGGGAGTAGAGCAGTGCTTCGATTCTGCAATAGAAAGATGTTTGTAGTTTTCTTTCTTTCCCATTTTGCAATTGCCCTTTGTTCAGTGCAGGTTTAAGATGGACAAGGCTTTCTAACCTCACCTGTCCCCAGAGCCTTTGATGTTATTTCACAAAGGGTGGATTTCTCCTTTAAAATTTGAAGCCAATGGGTCTCATCAAATGCAGAACATCTGGTCTGAAATATTTTTAAATCTACATTTCAGCCTGTTGCAGCCACAAACTTTGATATTTGCATTTATATTAACAACAACCCTTTGCACTTCTGTAGCGTCTTTCATCCCAAGATATCAAAGGGCTTCAGCAATCATGAATTTAGTTCTTCAACCCCCCTCTAAAAACATTTTTCAGGCAGAGAAACAGAGGCACAAGAAACCTGATCCTCCAACACTTCCTGCCTAGCATTGTCCCTGCCACCAGCACAAAAGTGAATGCAAAGGAGGCACAGTCAGTTCTCTGCTTACTGGCATGGGTGGTACACTGTTCTCCTGCAGGACAGATTTAAGTGAGGCAGTGGAGAATTAAACCCAGAGAGATTAAAATGGGCCAGCAAGGAATGTGAGGGCCTTTTCTGACACACTAAACATTTACGGGGAAATTCTGCCAGTCAGCAAGAGGAAGGAAGATGTGAGATTTTCCCATTTCAGGCACTTCTTTGGTAAATTAATCTTGTGTAGATGTTCTGGGCCTGATTCTCAGGTGTGTTTATATTAGAAGACAGGGTAGACTTGCACCTCATAGACTAACTACTCATGCAATACAAAATAGTCTTTAAGTAGCCTCCTACTGTAAGGCCATTTTACATTGCTACAATAATGTAAAAGGAAATTAATGTTGATGAGAATTCAAGCTATTGACTCCAGCAGTGTGTGCAGCCACTAAGGGCCTTGATGCACGTTAATTTTAGGTGGCTTCTGGAGCTCTTAACCCCTGGATTGTCTAAGTGTTAACACCTGAAACTAGTTTTAAGCACACTTGATCTTAAAGTTATACTAGTCCAAGGCAGGTTTATCTCTGATCCGTATTACCCAGCTTGTGTTCCATTAATGAATGGTGGCTCCCCAAAGATGAGCCACCCAAGTTGCAGTCCTCCAGCATCCCACAATGCTGTGTCCCCTCCCCCACCCTCCTGTTCTGTGTGGAAAAATTTTCCACCCCTGAACTCTACTGCCCAGGGGACAGTTCTGCCACCAAGCCAACACCCTCTCCACCCGGAGGGTGCGACCCTCCTATCCCCCAGGGTGCGACCCCATGCAAACACTCTGCTGAGCACATGCCAGCTTGGCAGGTCCCTTGGCACAGGTGTATCCAGGAGTAGAGTCGAGGGGAGATGGAGGGGAACAAGGTATGGGGCTGGACTTATGAACCGGGGCTTCATTCTGGGGCAGGGCCAGTAGCTCCCCCAAAAGTGCCTTCCCTCACTGCTCCCACCTCCCATCTACCCTGGGAAGCATGACCATCGCCCTGCATCCCCCAATCCCAAATCCTAATTTATTAAAATACAAGACCACCTTTAATGTACTTCTTCATTTGTTTTGAAATTCTTTTTTTTCTTTTTTTTTTTTTACTACTTTTCATTTTATCCTTCTGTGGCTGAGTTCTTTCATTTCACCACCATTCATAGATTTCATAGACATTAAGGCTGCAAGGGACCTCGTGAGATCATCAGGCCCAGTCCCGTGCCCAAGGGGCAGGAAGTCAGCTGGGGTCAGGTCATCCTAGCAAGATAAGCATTCAAATGTTTCTTAAAGGTATCCAGAGTAGGTGCTTGCACCACTTCTGGGGGGAGTCTATTCCAGACTCTGGAGACTTGAACGGTAAATAAGTTTTTCCTTATGTCCAGTCTAAAGTGGTCTTCCAGCAGTTTGTGACCATTAGACCTTGTCTTCCCATGGGGTGCCCTGGTGAACAGATGTTCTCCCAGCTCCTGATGCACACCCTTGATGTACTTATAAGCAGCCACCAGGTCACCCCTGAGCCTTTGCTTCACCAGGCTAGAGAGTCCCGTGGCTCTCAGCCTCTCCTCATAAGGCCTGTTCTCCTGACTTTTAATCATGCACATGGCTCTCCTCTGGACTCTCTCAAGCTTCTCCACATCCTTTCTAAATTGTGGAGCCCAGAATTGGACGCAGTACTCCAGCCTCGGCCTCACCAAGGCCAAGTAAAGCGGGAGGATGACATCTTGATTCCCCCCACCCCCATTTCCTTTCCACCTCCCATTTCATTACCCACTCCTATCCCATTAACTCTCTGCCTCCCAGCTTCATGTTCTGCTCCCCCACCCTCTGAACCGCTCTTTCACACTCCCCTGTCTAGGGCAGGGATAGATGCCTGTCCTGGCTCACCTGCCCTGTAGAAGCAACTCAGAGCTGTAGCTCCTAGTCAGGCCCAGCTCACCAGCCCTGTAGCAGCAAGTCACAGCTGTGCAGGTGGGGGGACAGTCAGAGAAGGTTTTTGCCTTAAGGTGTGTCTGCTCCAAACTTAATCTACCACCAACACTGATCAACATTTGAGAATCTCAAAGTGCAACATATAGCAAGGCCCTAAGATTTTCAAAAGGCAGCTGTCACAATAAACCTTGGTACTCATCTGCTGCTGTGGCATCCTTCTGTTAGGAAATGCTCGATTCTCTTTACACTGGTCTGAGCTCGAGGCCCTTATCAGGAAGGTGGGCAGGTTCCACAGGGTGACTGCTGGCTAGGAAAAACCACCAAAAGCCAGGAAACTTACACCAAGAATCACAGTACTGCTGTACTTGCATAGTCAAAAGGCAATCATGGCATGTGATATTCTTCCTACTTAATTCTGTACATTTCTTAAGGTACAAGAGTGTAAATGACAGGAACTGTAGATTCTTTAGGGCAGGAACCGTCATTTTGTTCCATGTTTGTACAACACCTTGAACAGGAGGGCCCTGAGCCTTGACTGGGACTCTTGACTAATAATGCAGTAGATAAAATAAATAATAGCAACACGCAGAGTTGTGGGGATATCTTTAAGCCTTTTTACCTGCTCTACATCAGAACTGGGCCATTCCTGACCTGCTTCCCACTCACCCACCTCAGCAGATGGTGCTAAATGCTGATCCCATTCATACCAGTGCAATGGTATTGATTTCATTGTGGATTAGGGCCTGAATGGGCCCTAATGAGCAATCAAG